AAAGTAATATTTTAAGTATCTTTCTTAAAGTAGATATTTCTATACTTTATAATTATTATAATAAAAAATAACGATATATATAGAATATATTCTTTTTTAAAAAGCTATTATTATATTATATTTATATTTTAACTATTATAATCGCTAGATTAATTATTTATATCTTTTATACTCTTAAATTTTATACTTAAATAAAATTATTATATTACTTTTATATTTATAATATCTAATCTAATATTTAAATAATTTCTATTTTACGAATAAGCTTCTAAAGATTTATTCTAAAGATATCTTCTATATCGATTTCTCTAAGTATATTACTATTATATTATATATTAAATATTAAATATATTCTCTCTTATATATTAATAGTTATTATCTATAATATTATCTTAAAATAATAGATTATATATTCACTCAGAGATAAATTAATTAACTTCGCTAAAAGATTTTTTATAAGAGAATTTAATCTTATAGAGATCTTCTTATTTATTATAAAAATATACTATCTTTTTAAATTCTTATCTTATATAAAGACTATAGCTTCGAAATAAAGATATTTAAATTTAATTATCTATTATAGATCGTTTAGCTTCTCTAATAAAGCGATATAATTATTATTATACTTCTTTAAAAGAGTATTTTATAAATCTTTAATAATATTATAATCGATCTTAATCTTATCTTTTTAACTATATTTAGAGTTATAAATAATTATCTTTAAATATAATAACGTTAATATATTCTATACTATATATAAAATATAATATTTTTATATCTCTTTAAATATCTTAATTATAATAGTTATTATTAAAAGTAAAAAAATATTATAAGATATTATAAGTAAGATTAAGAATAATAAGATTTAATTTAATCGATTAAAGATTATATTTAGAATCTATTAATATAAATAAAAATTTAAAAGCTAGAAGTTAGATATAATCTATATTAAAAAGAAGATAAAAAAATTTTAAACTATATATAGTCTCTTATTATAAAATATAATTATTAACTATTTTATTAATAGAATAACTATTTCTCTAATAATCATTTATAGTAAAAGTATATTATATATATAATATCATCTATTAATTTATAAATAGATATATTATAAACTATTTACTCGAGAGAATAAGATTAAAAGAGTAAGATTATATTATTATAGATAAGTATTAAATTCGTTATACTCTTATATATTAATCTAAAACTTAATTAGTCTTCTTAAATTTAGAAACTCTTTCTCTTATTATTATTTTTATTAAAAAGAAATATCTTAAAAAGTTAATAGCGCTATATATCGTAAAAAACTCTATAATCTATTCTTAAGTCTATATAATATATATCTTATTTTATAGAGTTAGAATCGAGATATTACTCTTATTCTACTATCTAAGATTATAATAAAATTATAAGATACTTACTTCTCTTTCTAAGATCTATATAAGCCTTACTCTTATATTTGTTAGAATTTCAGGTATGTGATATATAGAACGGACGGATTGATTCTCCAAAACCTCTCCGAGGCCAGGTCTTAAATATAGTACAAAATCAGGTGGCTGGAAAACATGGTGGCTGGAATACGCGGAGGCCAAAAACATAATGGCTGGGATACGCGGGGGCCACATTTTAACACTCCCCTGCAGCCACGCTCCCAGTTCACCCAATAAGAAATGAAGCTATACACAACTCCCAACAATAGGCCATTCCAGCCTCAACAACAGACCATTCCAGCCTCAACAACAACAGGCCATTCCAGCCTCACCAACAGGCCATTCCAGCCTTCAACAACAACAAGCTATTCTAGCCTCACCAACAGGCCATTCCAGCCTTCGACAACAACAGGCCATTCCAGCCGTAACAATAGGCTATTCCAGCCGTAATAATAGGCCATTCCAGCCGTAACAATAGGCCATTCCAGCCGTAACAATAGGCCATTCCAGCCGTAACGATAGGCCATTCCAGCCGTAACAATAGGCCATTCCAGCCGTAACAACAACTCTCAGCGTAGCACAGCAGTGGTGATGATAGAAAGCGTATAGATTCAGTGGTGGGGCCATCAGCCATTATGTAGCTGATGGAGAACAAAGCACTGCTATCTATGGCTAGCTATATGAAAGGAATAATAATAGAATATGCATGGAAGGATGTAGAAGGGATGTATACATAGAAGGAACTAGATACGCTGATACTCCCTCTATCTAGTGACATTCAAATACCTCTATTTTAAGGCCGAAATCATGTATTATTCTAGTTTATTAGTTTAGGTCTTTGTTCACTAACCCTATCATCTCGATAAAGTTATTGAATTTCGTGGTGGTTAGTGCTTTAGTAAGGCCGTCGGCCTTCATGTCCTTCGTGGGTATATATTCGTATCTTAGCGTCTGATTGGCTATTAATTCGCGTATAAAATGGTAGCTGATGTCGATATAGCGTGATCTCTTGTGGTCTACAGGGTTCTTTGCCAGATCGATGGCTCTCTTATTGTTATACTGTATTATAGACGGTCCGTTCAGCTATTATCCTAGCTCTAGTAGGATGTATCGTATTTATATTATATCCTGAGCAGTATTAGAAGCAGCCATATATTCGGCCTCACATGTGGATCGTGTCACAGTCTTCTGCTTGGCAGATCTTTAATTGATGGGCCTACCGTTTAGCATCATAATTATTTCAGCCGTTGATCATACTATAGATATCTCACCGGTCTAATCAGCGTCTAAGTAGTTGAATGGTTGTAGTGTTGCTGTTTTTGTAGTCTCGAAGGCTACTCTACGTGTCCTAGTCCTAGCTAAGTATCGTAATACCTTTTTATATGCTTGCTAGTGTTGATAGTTTGGATTGGAAGAGAATATAGCCAGTTTATTAGCAGTAAATGCTATATCCGGCCGTGTCTGAGTGGTTAAGTAGTTAATTTCCCCTAAGCTACTCTTAAATACGATGATATCCTCTGGATCAGCTATATATGTATCAGGTATAGGGACGAGACAGTTGTTTGTATTTAATTTCATTGGGGTAGGCGAGATACGAAACTTCTTCATGTTGTGGGTTGTGAGGATCTTATTAATAAATATAGGTTAACTCATTTTAAGTATCCTTACTAAACGATTTCTCTCGATCTTTATATCCAGATAGTATATATATGAGCCGAGATTCACGGTATCGAATTATTCGTATAGGAGTCTCTTAGTCTAGTTAATTAATGATCGATTATTAACGATTTTAATATTATCGATATAGACGGCTAGAAAGACGATTTCTTCGTTTAATTAATAGAGGAATAGGCATAAGTCGAATTATAAGTATATAAATCTAATTTTAAGTAGAAACTCTACTAGCGTCTCGTACTACTTACGGCTAGATTATTTTAGTTCGTATAGTACCCTAAGTAGTAAATAGACCCGATCTCGATCTAATTCGATAAAGCCTTCTAGCTATTTCATATAGACCTCGTACTTAAGTTTTATATATAGAAATGCTATTATAACGTCGATTAGATCTACTTTTCAGTCGTAGTATATAGTTAAGACTAAGAGGATCTTTTATATAATTAGCTTAATGATATCTGAAAAGGTTTCGTTATAGTCGATATCTTCTTATTAAAGAAAATCCTTAATAACGTATCTGGCCTTATAGCGTAGGATTTCGTTATCTACCCTCAGCTTCTTCTTATAGACCTATCTTTTCTTAAGAATAGTACGATGTGCTGGTCTTAGTACTAGCTTTCATATCTTTATCTTCTATAGTAAATTTCATTGCTTCTATATAGCGGTTATTTATTAAAGTGCTTTAGGTCCATTAATCGCTTCTTTATAAGTATAAGGCTTAGTATCGAATATAAGCGGTATAGCCCGTACTAACTTGGTAAATCCCTTCTTTAGAATATCGAAGTTAGTCTATTTATCGTCTTAAATAGTACGATAGTCCTTTAATTTATTCTTAATTCGCTATAAGCGTCTTAGTGAATTAGATATAGGTGGGTTTAATGTATTGAAAGTAACACTCTCCTAGTTACTTAGTTCAGATGAATCCGAAATATAGCCAGCCTCGGGATTTCCTAGGCCTACAGGCGGATTTTGGGCTATGGCCCCAGAGTCTTCTCTAGGCGCATTTGCTATCGTCTCACTATTTGCGACTAGTAAAGGAGAAGCTTCTGAGGATGACAAAATTCTTCCAGCGACGGTAACAGTGTTCATAACGTCCTCGTCCTCTAATACCTCACCCGACTCGTTCTCAGTATCACTAAAAGGCGGGATGAAAGTCTAAAGAGGTCCCTATAAGACATCACGTCGCCGTACTAGACGAGATTTGCGTTTATTCTATAATCGATATTAATTAGATTCCTCATAGCCAGATAAGATACATTTGAATCCTTATTTAATCATTTTTTCCTTTTATTTATGCTTGTAGTTATGGGCGTAAACCGTCATCCCAAATGGCCTTAGATAAGCTATATTTAGCTTCTTTTCAGTAAGAACCTTATATGATATCATAGCTATCTTTCTTAATAGGGCCGTAAGTAAGTAATTTATATTTAGAATAGCTATTCTAATTACCTTAGTTTATAGATCTAGTAATAGATCTATAGCTATTAACTAGATACGTGCCTTCTAAATAAGAATATCATTGATACGCTTATTAATGTTATTCTATTTAGGTGAATCGAGTATAGTTAGCTCTTATCGTATATCTTAAAAGACTAGTCAATCTCGAATTTCTTCGTTATTATACTTACTATCGTTATTAAAATAAATATACTTAAAGATAATATGAAACTGCGTTCTAACTATAGCAATAAAGTTCTATAGTGACTTAAGTACCTGATTCTTAATTTTCAAGAAATCTGCCCATCGAAATTAAGTCTTTTAATCGATCTTTATAGAGTAATAATAGTAGCCTCCTTTAAAGCGAGGTAATATTAATTCGCTATTAAAGAGGTCTGTGTAAATGCTATTAAAAGCATTTTCTATCTTAGTTATTAATTTATAGTCTGGAATCTTCTTCTATTTTTCGTAGGTGTATAACTTATAAAATTATCTTTTAATGTTGCCTATAATTTCTATTTCCTTTACCATGGCCGATAGTCTAATAACGTTATCGAAATTTAGATGGCTTAATGCTTAATGTCATTTAATAGCTATTATTTTTCGGTAGTTAGCTTTCTTAATAACCGCGGCCATAGCGATCTCTTTAGCTATTGTAGCTTTAAATAATGTGAGTCTCAGCTTGCAAAGTGTGTCAATTAGTTCTCCCTCAAGGACAGTATCGTTATTGTCGTCATAGACTCTTAAACGATTCCCCTTTCCGATGTAAGTGAGGCTATTACGTTGGAACGTGCCTAAAGAGAGTAGATTTATGGATAGGCCTTCGACATAGTGGACGTTTGCAAGTGTAAGCATGCATTCTTCGTCCTCGCCGTCGTCATTCTCAATGAGGGTCTTCAGCAGAGCATTGCCCACGGCAGTAACCTCCAGTATCCTCCCGTCAGTAGTCTCGACTAGAATGAGATTTTCGAGGGGTGTTGGTTCCTTAACGAAATAGGCTTCGGAATATATCATGTGGAATGAGGCTGCATTATTGAAATACCAGCCGTCGTCACATAATGTCGTGACAGCCTTCGCATAGGCCGCCCTTGCTATTTTTGGTTTTTCAGTGAATTCGGTGGAGGTAGCAGGCTTGCTAGCCTTCTTTTTCTTCTTAAATTCCTCGATACGATTCTTATTCTTTTTAACCCACTTAGCGAAGGTCTAATTAGAGTTAGATAGCTAGTAAGTCCTATTATAGTGGCGACTATAGTCGTTATATTTAGGCCTAGAAGTAGTTTTATAATTATTATTATTGTTATAATCATTATCGTTATTTCTCTTATTCTTATTATTTATAAATATAACTTTATTATTAGAGTTATTAATACTAATTAGTTTCTAATAACGTTCTCTATTAAGAAGTTATTTAACGATATAATCGAAATTCGATTTTAATAGCCTTTCGTTAGCGTCTTTACCTCGGCTATTTAAGACGATTTTCATAAATAATTTATAAGAGAAGAGAAATCTATAAAGAAAGAATATTATAATCTTTTACGTGTATTAGTAATCTAACTTAGCGAGTTTTATTTTAGCCTTTTTAATTGCCTTAATATACTTAGTAACTTTTTTATAATTAGCTAAGCTTACTTAGCTAATAATCCTTTATAGTACTTTATAAAAGATATATTCTTTAGATTTATATACACCTTTAAATGCTTTAATTATATTATATATATTATAAATATCTATAATATAAGTATAGTCATCTAACTTAAGAGATATACGTATATTATCTTTAATTTATAAGTTAGCGAACTCTTATTTATCGTACTCTTCGTTCTCTTATAACTAAGTTAGTATTTTAGTAAGAATCGAGTATATTTTAGCTATCTAATAGTAATCATATATCGTTTAATATTAGCGATCTTAATTGAATACTCTCTTAAGTATAGGGATATTAACTGTCGATAAGAGTATAGCGAATTTGAAGATCTTCTTAGACCGTGACTATTTAAGCTTTATTTAATTTGCCTTCTAGGTTCGTAGATCGTATAATTCTTATAACTCCTCTAATGAGAATATAATAGGCTGTTGACCTTTATCGTCTTATTATTCTAATTTGTCTATTATAGCTAGAAGGACGTATGTGTATATTTTTTTGAAATTTGATATAATTCGAATATTACTATATTATTAGCATTAATCGAGCTTATAACCTCTTAGCGTAGCATAGTAGTAGTAATAATAGAAAGCGTATAGATTCAGTAGTGGGGCCATCAGCCATTATGTAGCTAATGGAGAATAAAGCACTACTATCTATGACTAGCTATATGAAAGAAATAATAATGAAATATATATGAAAGGATATAGAAGGAACGCATGCATAGAATATGAAGGAACTAGATACGCTAACAACAATAGGCCATTTCAGCCGTAATAAAAACAGGTCATTCCAGCCTTAACAACAATAATAACAATAGGCCATTCCAGCCTAGAACGAATAGGCTATCGCAGCCTAAGCCTTCTCTAACTCAATACGCTTTCGCTTAACATCAACCTACGGTTAATATTATTCTAAGGCTAAATCAGGACGTTTAGTTTAATACATCGATTTATATAGCCTCTCACACGTCTTATATAAGAGCTTATTAGTCTTTCCTCTAGCAGCTATTCCCTCAATAGTCGTAGCCATAAATATCGCTCTCTCTTCTTTCTCCGAAAATTTTAATCTTTCTCTCTTCCTCTCTTCCTCCAGAAATATAATATATACTTTTTCTATAATTATATTTAATATAACGTCTTAAATCTTAGTTAAGTATTAAAGATATTTAAAAAACGATATAAAGAGATAAAGAATAGTTTACTTATTAGAAATAAGAATAACGTTTATAGCGATAATTTATTTTTTAAGTAACTTAATATAAGTAAGATATTCGAATATTATTTTAAAGCTAATATACTTTAAAGTATAGAATTCTTTAATAAGTCGTATGAATTCGCTATATCTATAAGTTAATAGAGTATAACTAATTAAGATAATATTAGAAAACTATAATTAAATTTGTTAATAATAAGTTATTATTTAATAGAATCGCTAATAATAAATATTATAACGTCGATAATCTCTATAGAGAATTCTTTTTATTTAACTAGAGCTATTACGATTAATAACTTAAAGAAAATCTCTTAAATATACTTCTATAGCTTCTATTTACGTAGTAGAGTATATATATTTATAAGCTATTCGAAATAATTACTCTTATATAATTAGCGAATAAATAATTTAAAGAATAAATCGAGAATAGCGTATTAAGATATAGTAATAGCGAGGTATAATAGTAGACGAGATATAATAATATATGAGATACGATAGTAGATAATATAGTAGTAAGATAATATAATAGTAGAATAATATAATAGCAGCGAGGTATAGAAGTAGCGTTAAAATCGAGCTTATAATCTATTAGAATTTTAGATATATAATATATACGAAGATCGATATTAAAAGTTCTAGATAGCGCTAAAATACTTAATACTCTTAGTATTCTTAATACTTTCTATATAGTTACATTTATTTAACGATAATGCTTTATATAATTGCGTATATACTTATTAACTCGCTCGGCGAAGTCGTATAATCGTATATTACCTCTCTTACGATCTTTTCTATACTTATTATTATCTTTAAAACGTATTACCTTCGTAATATATCTCGATATTCGCTTTATTTACTTCTAAATTCTCTTTTAAATAAACTTATAATTTTAATAATATAGCTATTATCTTTTAACTTTCTTATAAATTCTTAATATATCTTTTTAAGTAATATAATATTTTATTTATAGTTAATAAGACTTAGTAAGTATTTAAATTCGAGTCTTATTATTATAATTAATACTTTAAGTATTAAATATATTAATAAAAGATAATTAAGATAGAGAATAGTAAGAAGATTTCTATTTATTATATTATATAAATAAGACTTATATATTAAAAGTCTTTATACTCTTTCTCTATTTCTTTACGCTATAATTAATACTTTAATATTAATATTATTATATATTCTATTAATATTACTATTATATATATACTTCGTATATTTATACTTCGTATATATATACTACGTCGCTATTATATAGAGTACTAATACTTATTAAAATAAAGAATAATAATGCTATCTATGAAATTTGAAAGTATATTAAGTACTCAGCCCTATCTGAACTCTTATCTTGGTATGTCCAGGACTTTTGGTGTCGACCTCCGTAGAACGGACGAATTGATTCTCTAAAACCTCTCCGGAGCCAGGTTCTAAATACAATATAAAATTAGGTAGCTGGAAAATATAGTAACTGAAATGCGCGGAGGCCAAAAACATGGTGGCTGGGATGCGCGGAGGCTACATTTCAATAATATTATCTATTATTTTTCATATTATACTTATTCTATTAAACTTATATATTTATTATTTTATAGACTACGAGTAAAGGCCTATAAATTAAATTCATAACCATTTTTTTTAATTAGGGCTGTCGAGTAAATTTTAATAAGCGATCTTTAGTAAGCGATATCTGAATTTCTTACCTTTAAATATCTATAATACTAAATTTAATAATTATTTTTTTATCTAAAAGCCCACATTGCATTCTATAATTTAAACGAAAAATCTTAAAAATTTAATAGAAAACAAAAAAGTTATTCTAAAATTAAATAATATGCCTCTATTTTTTGATCAGGGCTGTCGAGCGAACTTTGATGAGCGAACTTTGATAAGCGATATTTGAGGTCCTTACCCTTTAATAATTATAAGATCAAATTTCAAAATTTTTACGTTATTAAAAAGCGCAATCTTCGATCTATAATTTAAAAAAATAATCTTAAAACTTTAATAGAAGATAGTAAAGTTATTAAAGGGTTAAAAGTAGAATAAGAGATTTTAATAGTTGCGGACGCTAATTTGTTAACCCGCGGTGACTCAGCCGGTCTAGCCGAAAGGCGTAATAACCTCAAATTTATAATTGGCTATACATATAAATTTAAGATTTTCAAGCTTAGCTCTATCTGTTAGGACCGATATAGATGTAATATTAATATAGGTATATTGAATAAGATAACTAAGGTATCGAACTATGTAGGTGGAAAGAAGGTATGATATGGTAGGAGATGCCTCCGCCAAGGCCCGCTAGCCATAGGGCTGAGGGGTGTGTTAAGAATACGCTCGTAACACTACCCCCCTTCGTTAAATCATATCTTATGATTGATAAGTGGAAAGGTAGAAAAATGGGTATATATGCATACTTAACGTCTAAAAAATAATAAAAGCAGTAAAGAAATAACCGTATCCGGAAACCCTAGTATCGTACCTTTCTCCGTTAGAGGTATTAGGGACGGTAGTAGCTTTTTATATTTGCGCTGTAGCGACGTTGCTAGCCGAGGTATATACGTATGTAGAGGGCCTAGCCGGAAGCAAATCGGTGTAATATAGCGAAAATTATGCCCATAGGCGTAGGGGTAAATAATGGTGATTTTCGAATTCGTATTTGAGCGGATGAGATATCTGTGGAATAATGCGACGTGATTAATTGAGAGCTCTTAAATCGAATCGAGCCGTAGGCGCTAAAAACTCTAATTTAATATCAAGTAACTTTGATATAATCTTCTCTATGGTATGTTATTTAGCTGATATCGATTATGTTTCATAATAGCGATAACGTAATTTATGTGTATACTGATATGGCTTCGAAAGATCTTTAGAATTATATTAGTAATAGGGGCCTACACAAAAAATCATATATAAGGTAATTCCTAATTAAAATGGGTCTAAGGGATCGATTCTCGGTTTTAAAAAAAATAAGGCTATTATAAAGATATCGAACGGTCTTAATTCGATTGAAAATAAGGTGTTCGAGATAGTTTCGGCCCGAGAACGCTATCGCTATTAAAGGCCCCTCGCCTTAATTTCTTTATAGGTGAGGCTCTTCGGGATATCGCTTATAAAAGTCGTTTATTAGATTTTAGTAATTTTCGAATTT